CACGCCATCAAAACGAATCCATTCTTGTTCTTCTTCTGTGTAAGTTGAGTTCTATGGGTTAAGAGAAGAATAATTGAAAGAGAGACCAGACGTGAAAGAATAAGGACAAATAAGTCATTCTGTATGGCAACTATTGTGGCCAAGGTTTGAGAAGAATGAAAATGGGTCCTGCTCCTAACCCCCTTGCACAGGGTAGTTTTTAGGCTGTCTGGGTTGGAGCCCACAGCATCGCGGAAACATCAGAGAGAGCTGGAAATAATCAATGCATGTGTTTGGCTAGGGGGAGTTGGACTGGATGATTGTCTCAGAGCCTGATTTTCGAAGCTGGCACTAGCTTGGTCTCCACATGTCACTGTGATAGCCCCCTCCAACTGTGCACCAGCAGAAGAGCTATGGTCAACCTCATTATTAGTGAATTCTGTATTTGTGAGTTTCTTTACTCCTTAAAAGTTACTATTATAGGGCTGGGAAGGTGGCTCAGTGGTAGAGCGCTTGCCTTGCATGCATGAGGCCCTGGGTTTGATTCCTTAGCACCACATAAGCAGAAAAAGCCAGAAGTGGCTCTATGGTTCAAGTGGTAGAGAGCTAGCCTTGAGCTGAAGAGCTGAGGGACAGCACCCAGACCCAGAGTTCGGGCCCCACGACTGACCAAAAAAATTTATTATTATTATTATTATTATTGGTGGTGGTGGTGGTGATAGTACTGAGGTTTGAACTCAGGGATTTATACTGCCCCAGACCTTTCTGTTTTACCTACTTTTCAAATTGGTTCTCAACTTTTATGTCAGGGCTTACCTGGATCATGATCCTCCTATTTATGCTTCCAACATAGCTAGGGTGACAAATACAAGCCACTGTATCCAGTTCTTTACTGATTAATCTGATGTCTCACAAACTTTGTGCTTGAACTGCCTCCAACTATAATCCTGCTAATCACTCCCATCTCTGTAACTAGGATTACAGAGATGAGCCACATTTCTCAGTCTTCCTAAATTTTATTTGTAAATCTAATCCTCATGGTCCTTTGGTGGTCACCTGTGAACAGTGCATTGAACTGCAAAGAATTTGAGTTGCCTGGTACACACATTCACAGCCAAGGTGAAACAAGGTAACTGCCTTCTTATGTCAGCTCCTGTGGTACACAGGTATCTTTCTTGTGGTTTATTGAAGGCTATAGTTCCTCCGTACGCAGCCTTTTCTTGATGACTTTACAATAGACCCTTACCATATTGCTACATGAAGGAAATACGCAGGCATGATTGATTGTGCTGTTGACCACAAGTTCAATGTTATGAATCAACAATAGATATCAAATAGGACATCTGTAAACAGAAACACACTTAAAGCAAGGATGTACCCTGACTAATGGGTGGAAATACATAGTCACAGCCCCACGGCAAGGTAACTCTACATTTTTCCTAGAAGTGGATCTTCCCTTCTGGGCTCTGGTTACCTGGTTGCGGGGGGGGGGGGGGGGGGGAGGGAGGGGAGAGGTTCTTCACCCTACTGCTGTTCCCTTAGACAAATGCTGGTCTCCATGCGCCATCCTAGGAGCCTGGGAGTTACATACTAGCACGATCCCTATTTTACCAATGAGTCAGCTGCATGCGAGAAGTAACAGACATGCCTGCAGTCTGATGACAGGAAGAGTAGTGACAAATCAGACTCAGCAGGCAGAGTCCACACCCAGAGCAGTCCTGCACGGAGTGCTAACAAGACAGATTGGGAGAATGTGTGAGGCATAGATTGGATGCACCCAATCAGGCTCTCAGGGTCTGTTTGTATGTTGTCTGTGACACATGCATACTGGTGAGTAGGGAAATAGTGGCTGTTTGGGGAACTGTCGCTTGCTCCCAGGGAGGCTTCCACTGAGTGACACTTCCCTGCAGCCAACTCTGAAGTGGGGAAAAAAATGATCAGGGCAGGGGAGGTGGGAGGGTCAGCTGGTGGCCCTCTCCCTAAAGTGTATGTTGGGAACAGGTCAAGTATATTCAAGGTTCTAGAACAGACATTCATTTGTTCTTTTTTCTGGGATTTGAACTCAGGGCCTCATGCTTGCAGACACTCTGCCCCTTGAGCCAGGCTTGTGGCTCTTTTTGCTTTAGTTTGACTTTCTGATAGGATCTCGTGCTTTTTGCCTTGGTATAATGACTACGAGCCTTCCACCAGTCTTGTGTGTTGGGATGTCATCTTGCTGCACAGACCTCAAACCGCTCTTCTCCCATCTCTGCCTCCCAAATCGCTGTGATTGTAGATGAGAAGCATGGTGACTGGCCCTATTAATTCTCCTTGATGAAAACCCCCCAAACAGCCTTGACTTCCCATTCTTTCCATTGGTTTTTTTGTTTGGCTTGTCACTGGATTTTCTGCAGTTCCTCCTTTTGGCTGTCACCATCTGCTTTGCTTTGCTGTCATCATCAGTATGATGTCATCTGTATTCCCTAAGCTTGCTCACGTGTTTTTTATGATCACAATCGGAGTAAGCTCATGGTGTAGACAAGTCAATTTTCTCACCCAGGTCAGCACTAGGTCCTGCAGACCACCAAGTAGACACTCAGGAATCCTTATCAAAGAAACCAGTGTCTCAGGCCTGGCCCCCAGGGATCTCTACCCTTCGGCTCTTTCTAAGTTTAGAAGCTATGACAAGGTGTCAAACTAACCCAGATGGTTGACTGTCTGAGCCCACATCATCTATAACTGCCCACTGTTTTCCTGTGGAACCCATCATGTAAACACAATGAGATATGGATGAATCACGGGGTGGGGTGGGGTGGGCGTGCTAGCTCACAAGGACAATACAGTAACAGAAGTTGAGAACACTACCTGAGGGCACAGCACTGACCCAAACAGGAAGCGGGCCACTTAGTAAATAAGGTTGGCTGCTTATAATCTACACAGCATTTGTGAAATGGGTATTCTGGAGCCAGCCGTCTTCATATACATACTTGTTTCCCTAATTAAATTAAGGAGGATTAAATATGTCAAGTTTTCTCACAAGAGCCAATTTCCCCTCTTTATTAAGTTGGCTATAAACACCAGGATTCAAACCCTGTCCATTCTGACTGCAAAGCATGTATGTGAATTTAGTTGTTCTGCCGGTGGCTTTAAGTTTTAGGATGTACAATACTGCCTGCCTCAAACATGTCCAGTATCTGCCCCTAGCCCCGGTCTGGGGTCACAGTCAGGAATCTGAGTCTGTGCCAATCACCTGTGCCAAAAGACACAAGAACTTTTAACTTGAGAGTGACTTTCAGACCCCAGACTGCCTTCATAAAGGTAGCAGTTATACACAAAGCAGAACTTACACTCTAGACTTTAAAGGCCTCTTCAGAACTGAAAAAGAAAATGATACTCAGGTCAACTTCTCTTGAAGAGAATTAATTTTATACTTTGTTCCTTGTTTGAAGATGGAAGTTCCTGCCTATACTGTTTCTATGGACTATGATTTTTGGGGGGCAAACGTGATCACTTCCAGTAAGGGTGAAGTATTTCCAACTCCACCACATGGGTGGGAGAGAGATGGTTCCAGGTGGGGGTGAGGAGAAGAAGGCCCAAGCGGCACACTCCTCATCTGTCAGCTCTCTGGTACTGTCAGAAACTGTGTAAGCCCACACTCAAGGATCTGTTACACATCTTTTTGACCAAGTGTGGGCCAAAAAAATTGAACAATTTTAAAGAAAATCTCCAAAGCAAAAACGGTTAAGTTCCTGCACAGATTTTAAGGCTCGGTTGACTCAAAAAGGAGTTCTTGGCCTTGTTATGACCAGCTAGGTTTAAATCATCGCGTCATCTGCTGAGTGCTTACCTGCTGCTTGTGCAAATCTGCCCCCTGAAAAGCAAGTGGTTTCCCAAATGCAAGGTAAAGTCAGCACACTTCCCCGAAGGGATGGAATGAAACTCTGAGACGCAATGAAGGGCAGCAGGTCTTTAGTGGAAGGCGGACAGCCTTCTGGGAGCATGCGCAGTACAGGGCTCAACGCTGCATCGTGAGCATGCGCAGTGCAGCCCCGAAGGCCACAGCTTGGGCTTGTGCAGTCCAGTCCTGAACGCGGCGTCCTTGGGTCGTGTAGCCCTGACCTCCGTGCATCCTGAGCATGCGTGGGCCTTCCTCCATCGTGTCCTTGGAATGGATCATAGACCCACCCATGCCAAGGGGCTACTGCACTTGGCATAATCAGCTGATAAGAAGGCAAACCTTGTTTGGGTTCTCCGTTTTGGAGGTTCCGGTCCGTAAGCATTTGTCTCCACTGCTGCGGGCCTATGGCAAAGCAGCATGGCAGAGCAAAGCGTCTCACTCCTGGCTGGAAAGGAAGAAAGGAAAGGCACAGGGCTCCCATGATCCCCAAGGCCCCAGCCCCGATGGCTTTTAAGAGGTCCTTCCTCCTAAGGTTCCCCACCTTCCAAGGGCACCAAGCTGAGGCCCAAGCATTTAACACATGGACCTGGGGCCGGGGGGGGGGGGGGGGGGGGAGAGGAGGGGGCAGGGGAAGAGGGGAGGGGGGAGCAGGCGGAAATTCCAGATCCAGACCTCTACCTGTAGAGGTACATGCTTTGGCAGCATGCCTGATCTGTTCAGAGAATGTGTGCATGTGTGTGTGTGCACGCGCGTGTGCACATGTGTGAACTCAGACTGGGTACTGTCCATGAACCTTTTTTTTTTTCTCCAGCCTAGCTCCCTACCACCTGAGCCACAGCTCCACTTCTGGCTTTTTTTGGTGGTGAATTGGAGATAAGAGTCTCACAGACTTTCCTTCCCAGGTTGGCTTTGAACTACAATCCTCAGATCTCAACCTTTCCTGAGTAGCTAGGATTACAGGCATGAGCCACTGGTGCCTGGTGACCTGCTCTGTTTAATATTCCACTTTCTTAGAAGAGATTAACCATTGGCCAAGAGGGGAAATGGGATTTGAAGTGCCATTGGCTGGCTCTCTCTCTCTCTCTCTCTCTCTCTCTCTGTGCATATGCGCATGTGCATGCTCACAAACAAAATACTCCAGGGAGTCAGGATTGGCTAGGAGATTATCCAAAGATGGCAAGAATGAGGCCACCTAACAAATTAAAGAGATAAAAGACAGACTTCAACAATACAGATGCCTTGCAGTAGTTCTTCCCATCTGGATGCCTTCGCTCCAATTAATACTTTCTCCAGCCTTAAGGTAAGATTATAAAGTAGGTAATAAGATCCTTTAAATCCTACTGTTTGGAAAGAATCTTCATTGTCTGATTCCCTTGGTGTTTCTGTAATGCTTTCAAGAGGTTTCAAAGCCAAAGTTCCAGACATGCAGGACTCCCTAGTCAGCCTGAGAGATAAGTGGAGATAATTAACTCTTCTATGTCCTTAATTTGTCAGGATTGCAAACTGAATACTTGGAAGAGTGGGAACCATTTGTTACATAAATGTTTCCAGGACAAAGAGAGCTAAGGGCAGAGTAAGATCTGAATCAAGTGGAAAGAAGGTTAGGATTATCTCTGTGTGTCAACAGTTAAAATTTTAAGCAGACCTTAGGCATGTTAGTAAATTATTTCTGAAAGCTCCCATGGTTGCTACTCTGGACCCTTGGCAGGTCATTTAATTCTCTGGCCTTCTTTTTCTCATTTCTGTAGGAGCCAGGATCTTTGAAGTTTAAGTTCTTGCTGTGATCTTCCACATTGAACATGAAAATGTCTTTCAATCATTCTGGAGGGAGAGTAGGGTTATTGTTAGCTATGTTGATATATGTCATTCCTTCCTTCCCTCCCTCCCTCCTTTTCTCCTTCCCTAAGCCCCATACAAATACTGCATTCTAGGATATACTGATCAATAAGCCTTCAAGTCCAGCTTTAAGGTCAAAGATGATGGGTTGCCACACTGGCAAATAGTGCGTTGCAATATAGAGGATTCGCGTTTGTATATAAAACCTAGTAAGGAAGTGGCGCTGTAGCTCAAGTGGTAGAGCGCTCGCCTTGAGTTGAAGAGCTGAGGGACAACGCCCAGGCCCAGAGTTCAAGCCCCACGACCGACAAAAAAAAAAAAAAAAAACCTAGTAGGAAGCAGTGGTGCAGGTGGTTCCTCGAGCAGCATGCTCTAGAGAGTGCAGAAACCAGGGCTAGTTGCCGAGCCCAAATATCCCGCTTCCTGATGGACTTGATGTCCCTGTTTCTCCTCTTGTGATCCAGTCACAGTACCCCACCACCATTTCCAGCCATCGAAAACAGGAAGCCTGGCGAAGAAGGCTCAGAAATGGTTGCCCGATAAACTGCATGGCCCTATGACTTCGTTATTGATTTGTAAAATCACTAGCATAAAGATTATATGATCACATTTCGATCCACTTGTTACTTTTTTGTTAAGATTTTTTATTAGCCTACATCACTTGTATGAGGCATTTTTCATGACATGGGCATAGTTTAGCGCATTCAAGCTCACCGCTGTATCTCTCCCGTAATCCCCTTCCTCCTTAGAAATATTCCCATAGGTTTCACTGTGCTGTTTATGTGCATGGATATGAAGCACATCAATCCTATTCACCCTTATTCACGCTGTGCTCACCCCCACCCCTACTGTTGGAGCCTGTTGTACTTCCCTGTCATTCATTTTACCTGCATATTAATTTGAACCAAGGGGTTGCACCATGCTATTTTGCACATGCATGTAATACATACATACATAAGCTCTTCTTTGGCTTTTCCCATTCCCCACATGTTTAATAGGTTTCAGTGAGATTCCTTATTCCATCTTCATACAGACAAATAGGTTTCATTATTCACTTCTGCCATTATTTTTCTGTCTCCTTCATCCCTTCACCCCCCCAATAGCCCATAGTTGCAATCATGTCCGACCTTCACCACTACCACCACTACCACTACTACTACTGTTACACACACACACACACACACACACACACACACACACACACACACGATACACACATGCCAAGTATAGACACATACACTTTAGGTCTAGATTCCACACATGAGTGAAAATGTGATGTTTGGCGTTATTAGTTTGGTTTACCTTGCTCAACAGTATGATCTCAGGTTCCATTCATTTTTCTGCAAATGATATAATTTCATTTTTTTCTTTATAGCTGTGTTGTATTCCATGGCATGTATGTGTGTGCACACACATACCGTATTTCCATTATGCATCAGTTGTTGGGCATCTTGACTCATTCCAGAATTTGGCTGTTGTGAACGGAGCTGCAGTAGGCACGGGTATTGATTTATTTCCTTCAGATATATTCCCCAAAATGGCACCGCAGGATCAGAAAACCAGACTCTTACTTGTTATTTTGAGAACATCCACGTTGGTTCCCACAGTGGTTGCACTGGTTCCCATCCCCAATTCAACATGGCCCCAACATCCTCACCAGCCTGTTACTGTGGGGGTTTTGTGACTGACACGGTGAGATGGACTCTCAGTAGTTTCAGTGTGACAGCTGCACTGCACAGCAGTCATCACAGATACCACCTTAGTGAACATCGAGCCATTACTCCTATTTGTTCCCATGTCACCCTGCTCTGTGAATTGGGTCTAGGGAATCTGAGGATCTTGGTTCTAGGACTCCCTTGCCCCACTGAGGACATCAAAATCCAGGAAGGCTCAAGTCGCTTATAGAACAGTGTCATGCTCAGCCTCCCCATCCTTTGAATCAGCTCTGGATTATCACTAAGACCCAGAGCAGTGGGATGTTAGTAGTTGTTCCTTCCTGTTGTTTGGGGAACTGTGACAAGGAAAAGAAGATGTATGTTCAGCACAGATGCCATTTTCCCCAGTTGGCGAAGTTTTTGGATACAGAAACCAAGGAGACAGATGTGTCTGTGCGGTTGGAGCCACAGAGAGCCCTTTATCCTGCCCACCTTTGCTACATACCTAGGCTCACTGTTGGGGAATCTACTCCTGCATTCATTTGGTGTTTGTAATGACTGCATCTCCATTGTCTTACTGAGTCTGGCAGAGGCCTGGTGGTATGGATCTACTGATGTGATCTCAAAATCTCCCCAAGAGAAGAGCGAGGATGGATTCCCAGCCTATGCTTTCATTCTGATGACCACAAAGTATGTCCCACATTACCTACCTCACATAGCTACTGGCTTGTGGAGCACTGACAAATAAAGTCCTCGAAACGGTCCATTTTAATTCTACTTAGGCTCACCGGAACAAAATAGGTAAAGTTTGCTTCTTTTCCTAGCATTTTATTTCCTTCAAACATTCATGGTAGTGGCCTTTTCCCAGCCTGTGCCCTTTCTCCCCTAACTTCCCCTTCTGGTTCCTAAACACTAGTTTTAACCACTGCTCCTCCTGGAGGCAAATCACATCCTTGTTCTTTCAAGGGTTTCCTGCAGGACGTGGCTCTTTGTTAAAATATTCCTGACAGCGTCAATAGAATCTCCTCCTATTTGTAGCCCATTTCTTTTCTGCCTAAATGTGTCTCTGGGTTTCATTTGTTAATTCATTTTAAGTTGATCCCACTTAAACCAACCTCTTTCTGATGTCCCTGTTTTAGAAGTGGGCCACCCGTAGCCTGAGGGTGGAAGAAGGGATGTGATCACAGCTGAAATTATCTGTGCTCGGAAGGGATAGGATGGGGCTTTTTACACTCTTGTCACATACATAAAACTATTGAGGCAGGATAGGCTCCAGTTAATGAAGTACTGCTTAGAATACTCCTCAAAACCACTCATTGTAGGAAAGGATTTTATTATACAATGAAATATGTTAAAGAAAGCTATTTGTGGGCACAGAAATAAAGAGATTATTTGGAGGGAATGAAGGTGTGTGTGTGTGTGTGTATGTGTGTGTGTGTGTGTGTGTTTGCCACCATAGAGATTACTACCCTAGTGGTAGAGTGAAGGATTAGGACGTCTGGACACAGGATAGCAAATTAGAAGAATACTGAATACTCCAGGCTCTTTCTTATTCCATGCAACATTTTGATGCAGTTTCCTCTGAATAATTCAAGCCTTGAACTCAACCAGTAGCTCACCAAGGGAGGTTTGTGAATGGGATGAAATGAAATTAGAAGCCTAGATGCCACCAGAGACAGTGTATTCTCATTCATAGTCATCTGAATTGTTCTTCCTGTTTAGAACAGGAAGGTGAAAAAAGGAAGATTATTAAACTCTGTTTATGGGGCTGGGAATGTGGCTTAGTGGTAGAGTGTTTGCCCAACCTGTACGAAGCCCTGGGTTCAATTCCTCAGTACCACATAAACAGAAAAGGCTAGAAGTGGTGCTATGGCTCAAGAGATAGAGGGCTAGCCTTGAATCAAGGAAGCTGAGGGACAGTGCTCAGGCACTGAATTCAAGCCCAGGACTGGAAACAAAAAGAAACCCTGTTTATCAAACCTTTCAGTGCAACTTAACACATTATAAAATAGATGATGCCTGGAAACTAGTGTTCATTTAACTAGATCCCTTTCTTCTTTCTGGACATGGACTCACATGGAAGACAGCCCTCAACTATATGGCAGTGAGTGTCATACACAGGAAACTAAAACCTGAATCTTCACAGTGGCAAGAAGCTCAGCTCATACCCTGCATTCCATGGAACAGCTCCATTCCCACGAGGGTATGTATGGATTCTCCATCTAGAATGTCAGAAATGAAGTAAAACTGAAGGACAAATGTTTGTATGAGTAAGAAAATGCAAAGAAGTTGCCAAACCCTACCGATTCAAGTTGGAATTAATAGCATACCCCGTACACGCAGTAACTAATGAATCCCAACAGTCTCCACAAGTACATTCTAATGGATCCATCACTGGTTCCTTCCTAGGGGCCTAGAAGCTGGTAGGAGTGGGAAAGAGCCAATGATGGAAGTAAAAGGAAGTATTTCTAGTTAGTTCACGGTTATGAATTAGAAACATTTGTGCTGTTGTTCAAGGAACATGTTGTGGAGGACCCTGAAGTTCAGATCTCAGCCTGCTCTTAGCCAGATGAATGGCTGGGGCATTAGTTGTGACTTACAGTCACAAGACTTTATTGATATTGCATTCCAGCATTGTAGTGTAATCTCCAACCCATAAGCTCTGTCATGTATATAACAGCCAATATTTATGGGCAAGAGCTAAGAGGAGGTTTATCAGTTCCAAGGGCTACCTTATTTTGAATGGACCCATAATTGGTTTATAAGCATTTGCTTCCTGACCCTGCCTTATCATGTGATTGTCAGCTAGATACGTTCTTTATCTCCTGTCCTTTGTATAGTCTGAAAGATTTCTGCAGAAATGCTCCATTGTGTGACATTTATACAACTCCAAGAGAAGATTGCTGTGGACACAGTCTGCCTGTCCTAATTTGGTTCATTCATCTCTCCTTTCTTTCTTTCTTTAGTTCTTTCTTCTTCCTTCCTTCCTTCCTTCCTTCCTTCCTTCCTTCCTTCCTTCCTTCCTTCCTTCCTTCTTCCTTCCTTCCTTTCTTTCTTTCCTTCTTTCTTTCTTTCTTACCTTCTTTCTTTCTTTCTTTCTTTCTTTCTTTCTTTCTTTCTTTCTTTCTTTCTCCCTCTCTCTCTCTCTTTCTTTCTTTCTGTCTGTTTTTCTGTCTTTCTTTCCTTTTCTCTTTCTCTCCCTTTTCTTCTCCCTTGCCTCGGTTCTTCCCACTCTCCTTGTCTTTGTCTCTTTCTCCACAGATGAATGCTTTGTGGTGGTATTACTCTTCACACATTGCTTTATCACCTCTTAAGAATGAGCTTTGTTGTCCTTACAAATGTACCAAAGGAAATCCCTGAATATGCTTTCCTTTGACGTCCATGAGACTGAACCGTGTCAGTCCTGCGGTGGACAGATGATGTAGAGCCCCCTGTGAGCTCTGAGCCCGGGAAAGCACGGGGGAGGGGCTTCACAGCGGCCCCATGCTCCACTCCTATAATGAGTTGCCTGAAAGCCCAGCAGATGTGAAGACATTTTTTTTCAGGCTTCTATCGATTGTGAAGAAAAATTAGACAATTGTCAGTTGTGCAGGTAGGTGAGCCAGGCAAGCGTTAATGTCAGAGGTGTCACATCAGGGTGTAATTTTTCATGTAGCTAGGAACACCCATGTGCGCCTTTCACACTGAGATTCAAAGGAAACTAACAGTGGTCTTTTTTAAAGACTGAAAGCATTCTGAAATGAGACATTTGCAAACTAACTTTTATGGAGACAGGCGGGAAGAAAGAAAGACAGACAGGGAAGCCATGTGGGTGGAAGCCCTGTCAGTGTCTTTGGAAGGCAATGCTGTCAGTCACGCCCTGTCTCCATTGCCACTGGACTGGGTAGGCCATGAAGCCGGGATCTGGGGATGATGGGTTTCCAGAGGTGAATACCTCAGGAGGGCTCTGATGTAATCGAGGGGAGGCTCAGAGTGTGCACGACTGTGGGGATGGTGGATGTGGCAGGTGGGGCTAGTTGGAGAAGGCTAGCCATGGAGGATGTGGCACTGAGGGGTACATGTGGGGCCAGGTGCCTCCCTCCCTCCCACCTCACTCTGCTCCCTGCTACAATGAGGTGAGAAGCTTTGCTCCTCCAGGCTTTTCTGCTGTGGTGCTCTGCCTCATCCAATGGGCAACAGCAGGAAGGCCGAAGAATGATGGCCAGCAGTGTCTGGAACCCTGAGCCCAAATAAACCTTTCCTTGTTTTAAATAGTTTCTCTCTTTTGTTGTCACAGCAACAAGAAAGCCAACTAATATACTGCCCAGGCCCATGGCCAACACAGACAGCTAACAGAGATCCCACAAAGGGAGCAGACTCAGGACCGCCTGGCTGTGGCCTGCCGTGGTTCAGGTTTGCAGTATCAGAAGCCCCCAGTGGTTGTATGTGGACGTTGAATCGGGAGGACTTTGATCTGTAGAAGGAGGAGCAAGGCAGGGGCTAAAAGGCTGGAATTTTAACCGAGAAAGAACTGGAAGCCAAGAGCAGGAATTGGGAAGCAGAACTGGAAAGGAGGGGCAGTTAAGCCACAGATATGGGTCACAAGAACAAGCAGACTCTGGGGGCTTGGAATGAGTCCCAGGCCCACAATGAGCCCATAACCCTGAAACCAGGGCTGCACACCCTCTGCTTGCTCCCTGTCTGAGGCCAAGTATAGCTGCAGCGTTCAAAAGAGTTATCAGTGGCTGTGAGGTCAGACGCTTGGTTTGGTTCTTGCTGCAAAGGCTCATTTAGCTGCTGTGCCCTCAGCTTATTCTCAAAAGCTCACTCTACCCTGAATTCTCTGCATTTCTAGGCCTTGCTGCTCACAGATTGCCCACTTCCTTCTGAGCCGCTCTCATCTTGTATCAACTGTAGCCATCAAAACACAAATTTTGTCTTCCCACTTCTTTCTCTAGCTCTACAATCTATTAGGTCACTGCTGAGGCATGGTAGTTAAGTGTTTAACACCTGTTTTCTTCCTTTACAAGAGGTCACTGTCCTTCTTGCCTCCAGTGAGATTAACTCTCCGTATGCCCCTCACTGTCAGCTTCTCCCACATATTTGAAACTTTTGTTTTGGAAACTTTTCTTTCCAGTACCAGTTTATGTTCAGTCAGAATAGACCTGAGGATGTTGCAGTAGAAAATAAAGTCCAAATTTCAAAGGAGGTGGGTGTCTATGCATCCACCTGAGTGGATCAGGGAATGGGCTGTGCAGCCATCCTTCCCTACTCCCAGAGGTGGGTTTCCAAACCACCTGTGGATACAGAACTCTGGATGTCCAAGTCCTGTATAGAAAATGGCCCATCATTCACATGTAACACACATGTACTTTAAACCACCTGACTTGTACATGACTTGTCGTGCCCATACACTGTAGTGAAAATACTCTGTCGATGAGTGAGGAAATGTTTTGTGTATGGGAAATGACAAGAAAAAAGACTGTACTTTTCCATACAGATGTGGTTCTATTTTTGAATGTGTGGTCCTGTCTTGATCCATGGGTGGGTGAATCCATAGATGTGAGTTGGATCTGTGGATGTGGGTTCAAATTTGTGAGTGTGGGTTATATATGTGGACATGGGTTGGGATGTGGATAGAACTGAAATCTGGGGATGTGGGTTTTAATCATGGATGTTGTGGGTTGGAATCATGGGTGTGGGCTGACATCTGTGGATGTGGAATCTGTGGGTGTGGGTTGGAGTCATGGTTGTAGTTGGAGTCGTGGATGTGAGTTGGGATCTA